TGTCTCTTTTTGTGACTGCCATTTTTGAGTGTGAATTAGCATTTTGGAGGAACGTTTTTGGCAATTCACTGCCAGCTATAATTATTTTTTTAATGGGTTCATGGGTTATCATTTGTTCCTATTTGTAATATATACTCCAGTTTTGAGGCAAGAAGTGAAGAAGCATTTTGAAATTATTTCATTTTTTCTAATGAAGAGTTCTTAAATAACTTTTCACTTTTGGGGATGTGAATTCTTATATTAAGTGGTTCTAAATTGCTACTTACATGTTTTGCGATTTTTAAGATCAGTTTCTATAGAAAAATTTTAATTCCAAGATCTAGAAATATTTTGACAGTTTTTTTGAAAACATCGTACACATTGACTACATTTCAAGATCAGTTTTCTATAGAAAAAGTTTAATTCCGCGATCTAGAAATATTTCGAATTTTTTTTTTTTTTTTTTTTTTTTTTTTAATATTGTACTGATAAATAAAATATTTCTGTCTTAGATTCTATAAAATACCAAATATTTAATATTTTTACTTTTTACATCATATTGTTCCAGTTGGCCACTTAATACCATATCTTGAATCTGAAAAAATAATAGGTAATTTAATTTTTTTCATGGTAAGTTTCCTTACTTTTATTTTATTTCTCAGATGTGCATCAGTTTCTCTCGAATTAATTTTACATTTTACCCCTCTGATTTCCCCCCCCCCCAAAAAAAAATATTTCTGGCTTTTTCTGTTAGGAATGCGAAGGAGTATTTTTCTTTAGGAACTTTGGCATTGCATCTTGGAAAGTTTAGAAGGATTTAAAGGCAAGATTTATAGATTTCTAGAGATTCGAGAAAAATGGTGACAAATTGAAATGTCTCCTGTTTTCACATGTAATTGAATGTATTTTACGAAAATTTTTTATTTATTTCTATTTCTTACTTTTTAGAGAATGTCTGGACAACAATGAATACATATATTGAATGTTTGCTTCTTAATATAGAATCTTTTTCTTAAAATGTTAGCTTCCTTTATGTTCCCTACTGTCATTTCCTATACGCAAGCAGGAAAATATCAAAAATGCTTCTAATCTTACGCATGGACAGTCATCTTAGAATATTTTATGTTATGTAGAAGTGAGGGGCCACCTTATATTTAACTGTAGTAAGCAGTTATTAGCCCCACGCACTAATTGAAAACTAACACATTCCTTTCTTCGCGTCATTCCTCGAGTCGTTATGGAATTGTGACCCAGTGAGCACTCAATAGTACGTGCACTGCGGCGGCTCACGGTACTCCCTAGCCTTTCAGCGTTAATTAGCTCAAGTAAAGGGCATTAAATTATCATGATATACATAGTTTGTATGTGCATATTTTAAGATGTTATCTATTGGAGGGCATCTTAGAAAAAAATTTTTTTTGTAATAACGAATTGAAAACTGACAATTTAAAAGTTTATTAATTGTCTTATGCATCATACACAAGGCTGGTGCTAGGCATTTTCTCACCTGATGCAATCTGTGTAGATCCCAAATTCTGCTGCCTAGTGCCTTTCTAAATTTTGCTTTAAATTCTCAAAGTTTTGTCATTTCTAAATTTTGTTGCTCGGTGTGTCACTAAATTCTAAAAATTCTGCCACACCAGCTCTGTTAACAGGCCCTTACCATATACATTTTTTCTGAATGTTTGTGTTACTAAAGAAATAAAAGTGTCAGCTTTTTTTATACATTCTAAATTCATTGAGTTTTTTTTTAGAATAATAAGTATCTTTAAATCCAAAAATTCTTAAATGAAAAGGAAACATGTTGAAGAAAGGAACTGAATACATAAAGAGAAGGAAAATTATTCTTCAAAGATATGTACAGTTATTATGTAAATTACTCTGTTTATAATTTCAGCCTTTACTATAATTTCTCATTTCTGTTTCCTTACCAGAATGCAGTTTTTAAACCTAGACAGTTTTTAAACTAAGGTTTTTAGAGTGTGTTTCTGACCTCCGCTTGCTCGCTGCATTAGTTCCTGCCAGCTCTGATTATTTATAATTATTCGTCTTTGCATTCATTATCTCTGCCGACACTTGAATTTGACGATAGAGTTACTGAGCCAGCTTAAATTAAAGTTAAATTGTATAGTCTTTGACTACTAGTCCACATTTTTAGGTTGAATTTGACTGTTCTTGTTTAATTACATCACCACAAGCTGTAATTTATTTTGTTAGCATAAGAACCTGTGTTTATGTTCTAAGTTATTTTTAAATAAGAGGCTTATTTAAACCTTTGTCTTACTTTGTAGTTACTTTCAGACCTAGCAATAATTTGCTTCACATCTGTGTGGGGATTTTGGACTATTTAACTTTTACCTGATCAAGTAAACTCTCATAGGTACATTGTGGAGAGGTTAATGAGTTAGGAGAGAAAGCACACAGAAACTAGTAAAAGCATTGATTTGCATATTGAGAAAAATTTCTGATTGTTAAAAAAGATGCTTAAAGAGAAGGAAATCAATATAAATTAGCCAAAATATCTGGGAAGACATCAAATTAAAAAGATGCATAAATATTTTGTTGAGTTGTTGTTACAAAGCATAAATGTTTTGTAGCTTTTAATGTGTAATTATCCTAATATCGTTTAAGAATCAATGTCATAATTCATGTATTTTTAACTATGAAATTTATTAGATTGTGATTTCTATGGCTTTTTAACAAATTTTTAAAAATAAAATTTAATAGTGGCCATGTAAATCCATAATGACAAAGTTTATCTAACAAATTTAATTATTTATTATTAACTGCTTACCCTTGAAAATTATCTCTGCATATTAAAGCAAGTTACTGAATTTATCTTATCCTTACTGTGGTCACAAAATAAAATACGAAAATGTAAAATATTCATGTAAAACTTATTCTTTGCATCTAGCGAGACTTAAACTAATACAAAACAACTTATCACTCTGGTGCGCTTTAGTGGCTTCTTGGAACCTTAAAGTGTATTAATTTGGGTTACAACCCCTGGAACTCTACACGAAGCTACAGCACTAACTGCATCAGGCAGAACCAAGCTAACTTTCAAAACTTGCCAACTGTGCCTACATCAGGCCTTTCAAGATTGTTCTGATCAGCAGGTATCTCTATCGGCAAGCAGCAGCGGTGACAACAGCCAGTCTTTTGTTATGAATCATGCTGATTATGATTTTACTTCTCATTTTTACCTATGCCACTTGACGTAAAATCTACCTGCCATTTAAACCTCTAGACTGAGCAAGTATATGACAGAATGAGACATAAAAGAAAAATCAGCATAAAGCTAAGTAAATAAAATGTCGCTTATCTTCTTTCAAATATGTCCAGTTATTATAAGTGTAAAATATTTAGCACTACTTGATAAATTTCATAAAGTTAAAACTATTAATTAATTATTTTCAAACCTATGAATTAATTATGTTAATTATAATTAATAATAATGCATTGGATCTGTTTTATTTTTAGAGTGATATAACAAAAGGGAAATTCAGGCATAGATAATGTTTTCAATTGAATTTATTCAGTTCCCATTTTCTTATAGGACCTTAATTTTTTCATTAACAGTCCTTAAAAGTACTTAATTTCTGTGTGCAGAAATGTGTACGAACCCTGGTAAAGTGAAAAAAATAGTTTGTTCTGTAATGCCCTTGGGGAGAGTGTGCTCTGTACTTGTTTTCTTTAGCGGCCTTGGCTTAAATGTGAATTTGGCATGTTCCTGCATTGGTAACAGACAAAGGGTTACCAATTACAAAAAATTGCATCATGACTATGTAGTTGTTTTTCATTATAAAATGCTCATTATGCGTACTATTTTCAATCTTCCATCAACGAAAAAGGAAAGCTGTTGTTGATGTTTGAGGCATTAGTATCAGCAAAAAAAAAAAAAAAAAATCCAGTATGCTTTTATTTTTACATGTAGTTATTTTAATTACAAAGAAAATTGTATTTAATATAGTCTTACCAGACATACTGCTTTGACTCAGACTGTCCCAATTTGATGTAGCCCATGTGATTTAACCAGTTTGTCATTTTGTCCCGATTATTTGGTAAAATTTTATAGGTGCTGAATATATAAGAAGTAAAAATAATGCAATTTCAAGTAAAACAGCAATTGGCAATTAAAATATTCCATCTGTTACACTCTATGTTGCTTGTGTAAATGTTTTCCCCAAAATAAGGGCAGATATCTTTCTTACATTGAACTGGGAGAAAGCACTTTTGGTTGAGCAGAATCTTTTATTTGAATAAACAACAGTGAATTAATGTGGCATGAAACTGAAGCTTCAGGTTGAAAAAATTAACGAAACTGTTGCCAACCATACAATAAGCACAAATCAACATTTTTGATGACTGCAAATGTTTTTTGGTGAGCTATGAAATTTGGAAAAATAAATGCTGTGGAGAAAAGTGGATAGAACTTTTTAATCATTATCATTAATAAAGAAACCTTGCCCCAATCTTGCTGAAGTAATTAACAGTAAAATAAATTGCAGTGAATTTTTCAATTCTTATTTTAAAAAGTTTTCACGTTAATGATAAATACTATAAACTTCTTAATAATAAGATCTGTTCAGCTGAGTTATTAAAAATTTCTTTTAACTTACTGTTGTTTTCGTTAACAATTTTATTTAGATTCTTACCCTTCTACTTACCCTATTAAGTTTTTTCTCTGTGATTATTTTCTCTAAATTATTTCTGTTTGAACAAAAAATACTATGGTATGCTTAACTAAGTACTATAGTAAATATAAATTTGTATTAAATTTCTCCTGTATATATATTAAATAACTTGTATTGAAAAACTATTTGAAATGAATTGCTGATTTACTGTTTACTGTAAATCAGTGATTTACTGCTTACTGTAGTCAATTTTGTTTCTGTGGTTATTTACAACGTTTGGCAACAAATCACACTTTCTTAAGCCCAAATTGTGCCAAGATTGTTGCAGAAGATAAGTAAGTACCTGTTAGTTCAATAGAATTTAACATCTCTTCTTTTATAAAGGATCCTCCTTCATCTCATTTGGATTCTGACACCGGCTCCAGAACTCGCCTTTCTACACCTTCATCTTCATTAGAACGCAGTGCAGGTAACACTCCTGATCCTGCACTGGATGTTATCCTAACTAAAGCCCAACCGGCTCACGTGATTGCCTCCGAGCCGTCTTCTCCAGCAGCTTCCGACATAAGATTAGAAAGGTATTTGTTTTTGAAGTGTCGGTTTTTCAGTTACATGTCGTAAAATAATTGTATCTTTAATTTAGGTTTAAGCACATTGTTTTTACCACAACTGAAAAATTTTTTATTTTTAGAAAATTCAGGTTAGCAAATTTATTGGCAACATGACAATTTTCTCGTTATATGTTATCTGCAAATAAACGTCCAATGAAAAATATTCTATATTTATTATATATTGGGATTGTAGAAGTAAATCAATTCTGTTACTTAATATAGTTAGTATTTTCTACATGTGATCACTGTTTTAAACTCGGATTATGAGTCTGCAAATTTTTCATTTTAGATAAGTTCTTCCTCTGTGATATATATTCTTCTGCTATTGGTAATTGTAAAGAATTTATTTGTCCACAATATGAATACTGGTTGATTTGTTTGTATTATGCACAATGAAAAAAACTTTTTATATGGACATCAAACAGAGGCAGACTGTTAAAAATAGCACTTGTAGAGATATTTTTTTTGTCATGGAAAACATGGTAATGGAAAGGAGCTAAATAATATTAATCAATCCAAAAATATTTCAATTCTGGCACTTTATTTCTGCTAAATATTTATTAATCTTGTATGACAGGTAAAGGGTGGTGTTAAAGATTGTTTATAAATAAATAGATTGTTTATAAATAAATAATATAGATAAAGTGTTTTGTAAACTTTTTTTTTTGTTGTTGTTGTTGTTGTTGTTGTTGTTACTTTGAAATTAATTTTGTTGGCAGATGTACCAGTGCCTTATATAAAAAATATTTTGATATGCCTTTATGAAAGTTTTTTTTTTTTTTTCTTTCTCAAATTACTTCCTTTCCATTGATCTCTCTTTCTACTCACTGCACATTCCCCATAAACTGGCATTATTTTTCTTTTGCATCTGTTTGTATACAAAATATGAGTATGTTTTAGTAGTGAAACAATCTAAATTTTATACAAAAACTACAGGGGAAAAAAAGGTAACAAAATGCAGAAAATTATGACCTGTAATCCATGAAGTTCTCCAGTCCATACAGCTCTTGGTCCTGAGATATGTTGATTATTGGAATTCTACCTGATAATTATGATATCTGACATGTAAATGAAATTTTTATGCAAAAACATTGATTCTGCTTTAATTGAGCCAGTGCACCAAATTTTATTCTTTGTATATAATTTTCATTAAAAAATTAATGTTTTTATTATTTGATTATGAGGCATCATAAATGTAAATAAAATAGTACAAAGGCAAGTGCTGCTGCTATTTTAATTAATGGCATTAATGACTTGAGCTGTTTGCAATCAATCATTGTAGTTTCAGTTGCTTACCTACCTTATGAATTTCTGAGTACCATCGTAAAATCTTTTTCTTGCATCAAAGATAGTATTAGTCTCAAAACTCACTTTTGTGATCAGACTTTTCAGATTATTGCCACCAAATGGTATCATGAGGTATTATTTAAAAGTAAAATTAAATAACTAAGGATTTGTATGTATGTATATATGTTCCTTGCATTGTAGAAAAATAACACCTAGAGCCACCAAATTTTTAATACACATAGTCCTCTACTTGAACATGGGCACCTCAAAGCCCAAATTTCAATTTCTTTTTGATTTATTTCATGTTTTATACAGCAGTTTATCGGATTTTTGTGCAACACTCAGCAATTTGAAAACGAGAAATGGCAACACTATGAAATAAAACATTTAGCACGTTAAACTGTTAACTTTAGCAAAATATAAGATGCTTACCTTTCAGTTTTGATCAATAAACTCAGCTATTACAATACAGTGTATTGCCACTGCCCCAAACAGAATACTTATTATTGCCTCACGCCAGCTTGTTGCTATTCAGTAAAGTGTAAGAAATTTAATTTTGAAATTTAATCTTTCAAAATGCAAACCAGGCAGATTTAAAAGCTAAAAATGCAGCTCAAAATATTTTTTCTGATTTTCAATCTGATTGATTTAAATAAAAATGCGTTTAAATCATGAGCTGTCTAATTGGGAACTAAATATTTTTATGAAATGACACTAGATGACACATTAAAATCACCATTATGTTTTCTTTTTTATGATGACTCTTTTAGGAAGCTAGTTTTTAAAGAAATAATATAGTGAGTCTAAAGGTATGAGAAAAATGTAGCATAAGGGCAAAGAAAGCGATGCTTAATAATAAAGCTAAAAAGACCCCGCTCCCAGAAAAGATGCTAGCAGGAGTAGGTCCAGGAGCAGACTGGTAACCTGCAATGCTGAGTGAAAGCATAAATCAATAAATCCTTTGGTGTGATGTTAAAATTTCCATCTCTTTAGGTTTCTTTTTTTCTTTTAATTTTCTCTCTTTTTTGGGGGGGGGTATAATATACACGTAATGTTTAAAAAATTGAGTGAATATTTTTTGAGAATACTTATGATCAGCTGTGTCATGATGATGTTGAGCAATATATAAAATTTCGCAGGGGCAGACCTTTTGCTATGCTTAGTTTTTTGATATTACTCTGAGATCACTTGTTTTTATTTTTCATCATATTCTGTCCTAAAGCTGCATTATAAAAAAGTGATTAAGTTAGTAAGAAGACACTGTACTATAAATATATAAGTAGTTAGTATAAGCTAGTTAGCTTCCTGGCCTGTAAGAAAGGAGCATGCTATGTTCATGTATTACTGAGAGATTATTTTCAGTAACAACTGCATTATGTAAGAAAATAAAATTTGGAAATTATGTATAGCTTTTTTTTTTTTTTTTTGTGATGTTTACTGAATGTAAAATGTAGCTGCCTACCAAAGGGGCACATTTGATGTATGGGAAACATAAATTTTAATGGTTACTTTCCTTGAGCTTAACACAGTATATGAACAGGTAATGTGAGAAAAAAAAATCTGATGAATAACAAGTGATTGACTCATATAAACTGTTACATTATGTCACTGGAGTCTACTAGGCGATTCATTTAGGTTGGTAGGTACATGGCTTCATAGTAAAAATGCTGTCTGGGATACTCAACTAGATTTCTACTCCTAGATAGCTGTATTTCACCTCAGGATTCTGTGCATCACATTCCTGCACCACAGTGAACAAAATCACAGCTACTCGCCACATTGATAACAAGGATGACATAACCCTGGATGGGCACATTGGGAGCACACACTGTCTTCACACAGTTATTAGCTTCTGCATGATATGTAGCGTTGAATGTTTCACCTCTTCAGCATTGCTGAGGTGCAAGCAGGAATGCAAATTGCCCAACATAAATAAAAAAAGAAGATAAACTTTTTTAATTTGTTTTAATTGTATGTTAAAAAAAATCCAGCAGTCTGAATCTTATCTAGATTGGACCAAAAATTAAAGCTGTTTGTTAACTGTACTAACATGAACCGTTTCCCAAAATCAAATTTTCTTGTGTGAAATATGAATTACTTTAATTCTGCTGAATACTTTGTTATTCGCAAATAATGTGAATATCATACTTTATCCGCCTTTACTGTCGAAGTCAAATTATTTTGAATTTGTTTGAATTCATTTTGCTGAGGGTTTATATACACATATTTAATACCTCATAATGTTATCATATTATTTTTTTAATCACTTTAAACATTTCATTTGCATTAAATTTAAGCTATAAAGTAACAGTAGTATAGGTTGGTGGGAAAACTATTAAGTTTAACGTGACTGTCACAGTGTTACTTTATACAGGAATACCTCACTAAATACTGTTAATTGGTACTGCACTAACTGAATCCGCACTGAGAGAAACATTATTTCTGTAGGAAAATTAATTTGTTCCTATCAAATATTATTAGAACAAAAATATGTATTTATCTAAAACTAATGGAAAATCATAAGAGGGTTAGTAGTACTGAGTGAAATTTATTACTCAAATTACTGACCGTTTTATAGTGGTGTCCACACTGAGTGAAACTGTACTATGTGAGGTATTCCTGTAATACTATTTGCAAAATACAAAATAGAAATTATTCCTGTGTGAGATTGTAAACGTCACCATTTCTGTTTTAAATTGAAAGCCTTTAAAGATGATTAAAATGATGTGTATGTAGAAGATATTATATATTTAGCATTTCATGACTGATTTACAAAGAAACTGCTTTACAGTTGGAATTTTTTTTTTTTTTTTTTTTTTTGACCACATTATAAAACATTACTTTCTATCCTTTGTTAGATTATCGCCTCGTGTCACCTCAGATCGCATTCAAAATAAATTCAAGCCATTACCTCCACCTCCATCTTCACCTTCTTTAATTCCACTAGCTGACAGTGGAAATATTGATTGGGCTACTTTAGTGGCTTCAGCTACCAAAGGAATTGAAAGTAAGTAAATTATCTTTTCATCTCTTCCCTTCCCTTATATAAAGTGTGATTTAACTAGAGGTAGCCAGAATTCTCTGTACAAAAAATTTTATGACAGTTTTAACCCTTTTACATACAGTTGAGCCCTGCTGTAATGAACTTCAAGTTCATTATAGCAACAAAAATTTGGTTTGCTGTATCCAGTTTGACAGGGGGGAAATGCATATCTCACAAAATGTGTACAAGCTGATTGATGAATTGTACAGAAAGTGAGATTAGCATTCTGACATTTCTCAAAAGATGTTAATAGTAACTTTAATTGTAAAAAATGTTAACATTTAATAACAAATAATATTACATAATGTTAATATTTCCCCCCCCCCCACTGTGTTAAGTATCACCATATGAAGACTTAACTGTATATACCCGCATATAAGTCAATCCCCCGACTTTTGAGAAAAAAACTTCGGAAAAACAAATTTGTCACATAAGCGGTGGCGCCAATAAAGCAGTATGCCGATGTACTTGATAAAATTACACTCGCACTGTAGCGAATTTTTGTCTATTTCCATTTTAGCACATGATAAAATTTTAAAATATGTACAAAAGTTTCAAAAAATTTCATTCGATTCCTTCAAATTTCTGATTATATTTTCAGTATTTTTGTATTTTTCTCATTTTATTCTGTTTATTGGGTCAGTATTCTATGCTACATACATAATCTTTTTTAGTATATTTTGAAAAATACTTTTTCTCCCTTCTGAGAAATCATTTATTACTAGCTGTAAATTTTTTAAAATTTTATCTAGGTCTTCCAATTGGGTCAGCTTCTTGGTTGGAAGAAGCTGAAAAGCAATCAAACCTCGACAACAAGTAAGTAAATATGGAAAATTTTATGCTTTGTGTTAAATAAGAAGTTTTTGAAACAGAAACTTTTAAGTTATGAAAAAGCTCTCCATTTATATTAGAATTTTAGAAATTGAATTTATTTTTAATTTTTTAGAGTTGAATTGTGTACTGCTGTTAACTAAGTCATAGGTACATTTAAATTTATAGAATTTTATATAAAAAGTTTCTAATAAACATTACTGCTGATTCTGCGAATTTAGGAATGTGTTCTATTTCATTAGCTTTATTTATTATATTTTGGTGTATGTATTATTTGCTTTATTTTCTGTATTCATGAAAATGTTCAATTCTCACACAAATGATTGATATATGGTCCAAAAAAAGTGATCAAAAAGTACAGTGTTATGTACTTTTATCAAGTAGTAGTTAAAATATTTAATTTGATTTATTTTGTGTTTCCTTTAGCAAAATACTGAGTTCAGGCCTTCATCCAGTCTTCAAAATAAATACAATTTCTTTAATTTGTGTAATATTTTTGTGAATATTAATGATCATGACTTAAAACTTATATTGGAGGAATTAATAATTGGAGTAGAGCAACGAACATTTTTTAAGCATAACTTTTAACCTTTGATACTAGGAGGATGGACTACATATTGTATTTCCTCATGTATTTTTCCCCCTGGCTTCTTAATACCAGCTTCTGAAAAGTTTAAAAATATTCACATAATGTTCAACTTCCTCAGTATGGAATGTGGTTCCCAAAAATCAGAATGAGAATATGCTTCCCTGAAAATTAAAATCATTACTTCTATGTAGTGATTGTTTTTACATTATTAACAAAGATAAATTCTTGCAAACTACCTGCAAAGGTCATGGTAAACCTATTGCTTCTAACTATCAATGCCTACCTTACACAAGAATGACCCATAACTGCAAAGTAAACTGAGATTGACATTTGATCTAGAAATTTTCATATTTAGTTGTTTATTCCCTTTCTCTTATTTATGGATGATTTGAATAGGAATAGGTGGGATTCGAGTTACATGGAAGTAGAAATGAAGATATCTTAGTAAATGTTATAATACAACCATAATGTAAGGCGTCGATAAAGAAATATTTTTATTCCTTTACATATATTCCCATTAAAATGTAGTAGTGATTTTCAGACAATAAAATTGTAAAAAATGTAGGAATTCATGGGGAAATACAGTAATAGTTACATTCGAGACTTAATTCCAATAGTTCCTTAACACATGTATTCTTTTAAAAGAAATAAAATTTCTATTTTGTTCTCTGATTTTAAAAGCGATTTGAATAAGCATTATACGATTTATTAAAGAAGTACAGCACTTGTAGAAATGCCTAGTTTAGGAATTATGTTAATTCACAATGAAAATATGCTTCTCAAACAGCCATATACCATATCCTCCATTATTTCCATCAGTATTTTTTTTAGACTGGAAAAATTGCTGATGTTTTTTTTTTGGCACTGGCTTCCAAAGTTCTGCTGTGCGAGGTTAGGAACCCTTGATCCTATATCAGAGATCCACGACCTTTTTCCTACATTGATTCCTTTTAAAGGAATGGTTTTCTTCATCAACCTCTTACATTTTTCTCTATAATGTACAGTACAAAAGCATACTTGTAATGCAAATAATAGCACATGACTCAAAAATAACAATTAGATTAGGAATGTGAACAAAAGTTTTGCAAAACATTGGTTTATTAGTTTGTTTTATTATTTTTATATTATTTTTTAACTTTACAAACATAAACAAATTTTCAGAAACAAAATTACAGATTCTAAAATATTTTTAATATCTGGCATAAAATTCCTTAATTTACTTTTTAAATTGCCTCATCCGAAAACATTTAAGCTGTTTGTGCTTTTTATTCTGGTTTTGTGTTTTCTTATGTTCTTGCATATTACTTTTTATATTATGCTGATTAAGTTGATTTAAAAAAAAAAGCATATTAAATCATTTTAGTGTATTATTTCCCTTATATATATTTTATGCGATTTCATCCTTACTACGTGATATATCTTTATATTAATAAAAATTAATTATCAATTTTATTAATTTAAATCGTGGTTGCACCAGTTAATTGAAGGCATGTATTCGTCTATTGACCCCTTGATCATCATTCATCCCCTTTAAAATTTGAGCCCGAGGGGATTAATACTGCTTGCAATGGTTGATCTCATTGGGAAACCCTGATTTGGATGATATTTGTGTCTTGTTGTGATATTTGTGTCTTGTGTCGTGTTGGATATAAAAATCTGCCTCATTTGTTAAACACATTTTGAATAAACATTTGCAATAGATTATAGTAATTTTGTGATTAATAAAACAATTTAAAATAGCCATTATAGTTTTATGATTTATAGAGCAGTTTTATAGAGACAAAAATAGTGTTTGATATCTTATTTAAGTGTCTAACCATGAATCTCAAACTAGGAAATTTTATGCTCTGAGACTTTGCAGATTTCATTTCCTTCAACATATGTTCTGAAATGTTGAAAAAAATGAAGAAATGAATTGTAAAGCTTCTTTTGTTTAATATAGGATATAACTTTTGGCTCTTTGGGTTCCCCCCCCCCTTGGAAATAAATTTCTGCCCCCAAAGAGAAGTTTAATGGTAAACAGATACAGGTAGATGCTAGGCAAGCACATCTCTAGTACCGTAAATGACTGAGATATTGTTGTACATAGCTAATTGATAAGCTTCTACCACAGTTTAAAATTTTAATGGAGAACACCCTGTGGAGTCCGACCCTTCCTCCTGTACCATCCACCTCTCGAAAGAATTTTTTGCTTGTCTTTGTCACACAAATAGTATATGATTACAAACATCCATGATTTCTCAGGAAGTTGAACCCAGGCCCTTCAATATTGCAGTCAGTGCCACTACCTGCTATCCCATCTGGGCAGCTATAATGTTAAAAAGAATTGAAAAAATAGCACATGTTTATGCTAAATGAACATCATGTGGAACTATTAGCTTGAGCCTTTTAACTCGGATCCGGTCATCATATTTTTTTGTCATTTGTGGTGTATGCCCACTAGAGACCGAACAATAAAGTCGCTGAACACTGGTAGTTCAATCAGTCTGAGAGATTGGGTAGGTTGCATGGCCATTTTCATGGGTTTCCCCATGTGTAGTTTATATACAAGCTAGTTTCTGTTATGAAGTTCTCCATGAAGGCATCCCTTTTTTAGGCAGGTTAGCCTTTCAGTGTTTTGCCTTAGTTAAATGAGCCTAAACCAAACCATTCAAAGTGTATATTTCATTATTATTACAATCCTATTTTCATATTTTTATATTAATCTAAATAGAATCTCAATGAGAGCTTATGAAAGCAGAGATTAAAATAATTAATAAAAATTTAGCAAGAAAAAAGAACTGTTTGAATACTTTTCATAAGCAGTTCCATCCAAAATGCAGTGCAACTTGGAAGGTTTATTTCAAAATGCAGTTAAAGGTGTAATAAAATGTTTTACCAGTGGTGGCCCAGGAACTACATTGCCCTGAAGTAATCTTATGTAGCCTGTGAATACATTTCTCATAAGTTAATTAGCATGGTTATGACACTAACTATTATGGCAAGAATTTGAAGAAGAGTTTAAAATTTTAACAATTTTGAATCCAATTTTCATTACTATTAAAAACGAAAGGGAATAACACCTCAGAAAATCTACAAATTGAACTTATTAATCTACACTTAATGTAAATTTTATTCAAAGATTTGAAGGTACAGATTTAACATGTTTTCACTCTTGTTAAAAGACAAATATTTTCAGTTATGAATTTATGCGATAAGAAAAATCTCTTATTTAGGAATACATTTATATCTGAACAGTTGCTCCCCCCAGTTCAAAACTAATTTTAGTCTAGAAAAAGAATCAGCCTGACTAATGAGCTCCTGCGACTTAAGGTAAAAATATTGTCTCTTAATTTTTTTTCTTTCCAAGGTTACAGGCTCTATCAAAATCAAAATTTTATGAGCTTGAAATTATAGTAAGAAATAAAGAAGTTTATAATTATTTATGTATAAATGTGTTTTTTCTGTATATGTGAAGGAAAAAATTAATTAGTTAAAAGATAATAGTAAGTTGTCATTATTTTTTCTCAAATTATGTCCTCCTTGAACATTTTTCATAATTTGTTTATTTTAAGTAAGTAAGTTAGTGGTTAATTCAGTATACAGTACAAAGTCTGTAATCCGGACGTCCATTATCCCAAATGATCTATAATCCGGACCTCAAAGCCACAAAATTTTTTTTATGTGTATGCCTCACTCATGCGCGTTTAACGTTACGCGTGTTTAGCACAAAAAACGAAGCAACTTAAACAACTTACATTGAAAGAAATGTTTAATAAAGTAATAATTTTTTTTTTTTTTTTTTTTTTTTTTTGTAAATTTTGATACCTTTTAGATCAATTGCTCTTTATTTCATAAATTATGGTTTCATAGTTTTAATTGTATAATTTCTGCATGCCATCTTACCAGATTTAAATTGATGATCTATAATCAAGAAAAACCTTTAATGCGGAATTGCTGAAGTCCCGACGAGTCCGGATTGCAGACTTTGTACTGTATTAGAATTATTCGAAATTAATCTATCTAAAAAGTTAGTATTTAGCTGCTTTGAATAGGTTTGAATTTCAAAGTGTAACCAAGAGAAATTTCTTTTAAATATCAACCTTTACATTTTAGAGAGAATATAAATTGGAATTTTTTCTTTGTATGTAATATTAATTTAGTAATAGATATGTTTAAATATTTTCTGTTACTAATGTCATTACTTCTGCAGCTTGGGATCAAGAATTCCTAGTGTTCAAGAGTTAGAGGCTCTACTTTGGAAAAAGCAACAAGATTTAATGGAATCAAGAATTCCTGATGTTGAAGAATTAGAGGCTCGACTTTTGAAAATGCAGCAAGATTTGTTAAAGGTATGTTTAAGAAATTACTTTGTACTGGGTTATCTCCTAAGATAATTTCTTTAAATGCTTTACATGATTTTGCTGAGTTATGATATGAACATTATTTTATTTTCATTGCTAATTAGAAAGCCTGTGATTTGTTTCTTAATATGAATATTGCTAATAATTATTGATTATTTCTAGTCCCCTAAAATAGTTATCATAAAAAAGAGAAAATATGTGATGATTTTAAAAGAATCCAGCTAATGTAATTTTATAAAAGTATTTAAAGTTTTTAATTAGATATATCTTGAATTTTTATTTAAATCAGTTGAATTTAGAAATAAAAAATATCATTATGAGGTTTGTTTATTGCTTTTAAATCACTTTGTTATAATTAATCAGTCACAGACCCATTAAATTTGAAAACTGAATCTTATGCTTTGGTGAATGGTAGCAGGAGTTTTCTTAGTTGTGGCTGTGGCAATAGAAGACATTACTTTTAACTAGTTTATTGATTAAATTTGAAAGATAAATATCTTTCTCTCTGCTGAATGGCAACACTGGTGTGTGGAAGATTTAAAAAAAAAAAAAAAGTTTTATTTCAGAAAGTGGCAACAGATTGTTTTTGATTCACTGAGTTTGTTAATAAAAAAACATTAAATTTGCATAAAACATGAAATAAACTAAATTGAGCCTTCAAGGTGCAGCTGTCTGTGTAGAGAAATGTGTTTTCATAATTTGATAGCTCTAGGTGCCACCATTTTTCCTCAGTGCAAGAAACAAACATATATTCATACATACATACAGATTCTTCATTATTTAAATAAAACTGATAATATGAAATTTTTTTAAATGTGTGAAGGCATGTTTTTCATGAACCTGACTACTAAATAGTCATTCATAATATTTGTATTGCTGTTTATCTTTGTTTTCAGCAGCGCTGCATGATTAAATCAAACGCTTAAACAATTATAAGGATTTAAATGTGTCTTCTTTAATTTGGATCAACAAATTTAAATATAGTTACACTTTTTTCAGCTTCTTGTATATACTGTATTCTCTTGTATCGTATTTTTTTTTTAATAAAAAGAGCAAATGAAAATGAAGGGTGCAGTTTTTATGTGCAAATAATTAGAATGTGTATTTAATGACTCTGTATAAAATCCATTGTTGTCAGGTGAATGTTGCATAGGATTGTACTAGTTGTAGTTCCAAGTCATTTGAAGCAAAATGTCTGACAAAGGATTTAACTGCACTGCACATTTTAAACTGCAAGTTCGCCAGTTCTCTGAAGAAAATGGGAATTGCAGCACGTCATTTTAAAGTAAATGAATCTACGGATAGTCAAAATAGTTGCTTTAGCTGCTTTCATCCTTCCAAAACACACAAGGAAAAAAAAAAAAAAAATGATGGACAAGCTATCTGTAGCTTATTTCTGAGGTAAAAATTAAGGGTGTGGCTTATACATGCTAGGATACAGTATTTCTTACACTTAGCACAAACACTTTGTTCCTTTGTGCATAGTACTTTAATTCACACATGAAAATTTGTTAGATTGCTTTTGTAAGTTTTAAAATAAAGCATTTCAGTTTTCATTTTGAACAAAAGCAGTTTTATTTTCTGCACTACCCATCAATTCTGAAGTAGTCTGTGTTATTAAATTTCTTGAATTTTTTTTTTTTTTTTTTTTCCCTGGTACAGGAACAACACCAAAAAGCAAATTTGGAACATGAAGTTTTACAGTTGAGGGAAGAAAATCAGAGGCTGCAGGAAGAATCCCAGTCTAATGCCGTTCAAATCCGTAAATACAGAGAATGGTTTTTACAGACACGAGAAGCCCAGTCATAAAAAAGAAGAAAAAAAAAGGAAAAGAAAGAAAGCTAGAAAAAAAACTGTCTTGTTTTTAATCCCCTGTGCCACCATTCCAAAAAAATCATGGCTGAAGTGTTTTGAAATAGTATTATGAAGTACAGTGGGTGAAATATAATTGTGATCTTTTTCAGAGTTGTCCAAAGATTAATTGTACAATAATTCCTAAGCATAAAACTTTTTTCTTTTTTCCACATGAGCTCATAGAAGTATGTATATATTTTTCATTTGTGTGTTGGCTGTTGCCTTAGATTTTTAGATTGCAGTATATATTTAATTATTGATTAATATTTTTAATAAGATTAAGTTTCTTAAATTATTTTATGCATTTAATCCTTCGAGCAGCATGGCTTTTTGGTCTTACTGATGAAGAGCTGTAATTAAGCAACATTTATTAGCTAGATTTATATAATTACTAATTTTGCTGTTTGTTTTCATAACCTTCCAATCCTTAGAGTAACAAACTAAAATATTTAAAAAGAGCAAGTTAATATATACAGGAGGTTGTGGATTTACAGCTGCTGTTCGGCTGGCCAGCGTGAAGTTGATTTGGTCCTTTCTCAGTGTAAATAAAAAAATTAAATAAATCACTTGCTATGGTCCTCATAATAATTGTTTTCACTATTTCTAGTGGCTGGGCTGCGGTCATTTTCAACTGTTGCTTCAACTGTACTTTTGATATGACATTTTCATAAACATTGTTAGCTTAGACTGAACTGTTTGTTTTTTCTTTTGGTTATAAATTTAATGATGTATAAAATTTCATTTTTATTTTTTTTATTTTTTTTTTTCCAACCCTGTTAATTTGTGTCCATAAGTGTCTGGCCTAGAAAGAAGTTGGTTTAATGTTGTAAAGAATTAGAATAAACCCTCCACAGTCAATTTTTTTCTGGTTCAATTTTTCCTGTTTTCTGTTCTTTCTTCTTGTTTAACCAAACAAGCTACCCATAGCTGCCAGGTCTCTCCATTTTTTAGGGAGACTCCTTGCTTTTCTTCAAATCTCCCAGTAGATCATTGAATCGCTCAGTTTTTGATTTTTAGATTTCACTAAGGAAAACATTTTTCAGCAATAAATGGAATTTATTGAATTATAGAAACTTAAATTATGCAAATTGCATTACCTTACCTTTAGTGTGATTTTTCAGAATGTTTTCTTCTTAAATTTTATATAATCTGTATTGTGTTTTTTATTACATTGAACTGATCTTTCTAAATTTTTCTTATTAAAGTTCCATCTGTCTTAATGTGCTGTAGACTTTTATATTAAGATTCAAGCAGTCTTTAATCATCTAATATTTGCATTTAACACATTCTTTGCCAAATGTGATATGGTGTATCTGTTCGCACACACCAAGAATACTTGTAGCTATGAGACACACTATGAGAAACTCATAGCCAGCAAGCAAACTCAACATGCCAAGTATTCTTGTGGATAGCAACAAACGCATTAATTTTATTTTATTCAATATATGGTACAATACTAAGATTATTCACACAAATATGATTACATTAATAATTAATTTAATTTTTTTTTTTTTTTTTTTTTTTTTTTTTTTATTTATTTATTTATTTAAAGGTATTTTAATAAGTAAAGTTTCACTATTTTGGATTTTCTCGACATAAAAGTCGAATATAATTAAAAAATGAAATTTGCCAAAGAACATAAAATTTAGAATGTGTAATTTAATTCTCTTATAAATAGTTTAGTAATCTGAATCATGCATTATAAAATGAATTAAAGTCAGTTTGGAGTTAATTTGAAATAGTGTTTCTGTGCAATGTGAGAAACCTCCTGGTTTTTTTGAAAAAATATCTTGATTTTTGAAAACTTTCGAGGCTGATAGGTATGAATTATATATTGTAGATTAATTAATCACAGAATTATATGAGCACAAAGGAAATGATTTGCAGCAAAAAGTAATGCAAGTGTATTGACTTAAATGCCAAGATGGTGCATTAATTGTGAGTTATGCATGGTGTTGCCAATTCTAATACATGCACTAAATTCAGTTTTGTCACTTCAACACTTAATTTTGGGGGGTAAAATTTTTGACAGAATGTGCCTTTACAAAAATACTCATAACGTTAGTCGGATAGCTGTAAGTCAATGACCACCTGAACTGAGTGGCTGTAAATTTCATGACTGGATAAGAGTAGTTATGTTGCTCAGAAGATTAATTAAAATTTTTATGTTATACTTAGTTTAATATATTTTTACTTTTATGTGTGACATTCTAAACGACTCAGTGTGATATATGCCAAAAGGACTGTGTAAAGTAGTATAGTGATAATTTTATTTGTATTTTATAAAACTGAATTTGTTACTGTAGTTATACTGAATCATGTTGCATTATTGGAAGATAGAATCTTCATATCTTATCTGAGCAGGTAAGGCTGCTATCAAATCTAAACTATTACAAGCAAAATGTATTGGTGGCTTTGAAAAGATTATTTCCTTTTTCATATTGAAGCATTGAAGAAGATATAAACTAATATAAATTTTATGCCCTGTAAGTGCAAAATATATTTTTAAATATTTCCATTAAATTGGTATATTCTAGACCTGTGACCATGTTTGGAGTATTTTTGTTTATAATATGTTTGGTGACTTCCCTCCTCTTTAGTTAGACTGTTGATTGTCTTAATATTAGTTGCCATGCATTAATTAATCATTCCATCAAATAAATATTATTAACTAAAGACTATTAATATTAAATCTATAATAGATTTCATGCTTAAAAAGTTTCTGAGGATTAGGTGTTCCGTAATAAATAAGCAATAAATAAGGTCATGCTTTAAGAACTATGCAATATTTTGTAATTCGAAATTTTTGAAATCGAGTTTTATTTATATTATTTTTGTGAATGAAAAGTTCCCTGACGATTTTCAAAATATTCAAACAGTTTGATCACATTTCTCATTCCTGATTTTGAACAGTGGAAAGTTCAGGTTTATCACTTAATATAGTTGACTATGTTAATCTTTTTAACATTCCTATATCTTTAGACCAATAAATCATTTTTGGGTAAATAGTATGATAGTTTTATATTATCTAATATATGATTTTTTAACATCTGTTTAACAGTTTTTATACTTTTAGTATATAGTTTTATTATTATTCTGCCATCATTCATTCCTTTCAGTTTCTTTATGTTTTCTAATGTAATACTTTCTTTTAATAAGTTAACTTATTTAATTTTTCTGTGTAAAGTGAGAAGAAACAAGAATATGCTTTTAGTTGTTTTACATATATCAAAGCTGCCAACTCTCCCGCATTATCTTCACATCTCCATTCTCCCAAAAGATCACTGAATTCCTGGCTTTATTTTTTTGCCAAAGAAAATATTTCCCAGCAATAAATGAAATAATTTGTTTAATTCATGGAATTAAACAAATTCCATTCCCTCACCTATAGTGATTTTCAGAGTAATTTGTCTTATTCAATTTTATTTAACTGAATTGTATTTATTATTATATTTTATTGATCTTGTTAAATTTTATTTGATTTGAGAAGTCTTAATCTACTGTAGACATCTGTAAATTTTTATATGAAGATTCAAGCAATGTTTAATCTGTTAATATTTAATTTTACTTCTGTATACTGTACATTACTAAGTTTATCAACACAAATACTATGTAGGTTAATTATTAATTTGATTTTTATTTTCCTCACAGAATTTTCTTGTTAAAAAAACTGTAAGAAAATTTAAAAATAAAATTAGCCAAAAAGCATATACAATCTAGAATATCCAGTAGTGCTATCATATGAATTAAATTACAGATAGATCAGTGATCTAACCATGCATTATAAAATGAATTCATTTGAAGTAGTGATGCCTCCCTGTTTTTAAGATTTCAAGGTTGGCAGCTGTGATATATAAAAAATTTCATAAACATGTTATCAAAGAAGAAACTTACTGTCAGTTTTGTTCTTCAAAATTAAAGGGCCCCTTCCCCCAAAAAAGTTTTCATCTTTTTTAAATAATTGAAGAGTTTGTTACTAACTGAAAGCTATAATATATTTCTGCATTATTTCCTGACTTTTTGTCAGAGAATTTTGTTCGTACATGTCTTTTTATCAAGGAAAAATCTTAGCTGGAATGTCTGTTTTCTGAAAAATGCATACTTTTCTTGTTTATTAGAAATTTCTTTAATAAATTTATGGCTTGCCCTTATATTTTAAATGGTTTGTAATGCCTCTTTTGTAGTACTTCAGAAAATATTTATAAAAATTAATGAATTGCTTGATTTCTGAATTTTTAGACTTACACATATATATATATGTATATATAGTTTTATTATTAGTATCTTTGTATGGAACAATTTTGAAAGCAATGCACATACAAAGTATAATTTAAAGGATGCTTTTTAATTAATTCATTCATTCTTCCTAGAGAAATAAATGATATTGAGTTGTTGATATTTCATAGAGCTAAAAAAGTTTGCTTGCCAAAGCTAATTAATAAATATAATTTGTTTTGATTAAATTCCAAAAAGAAAATTATTTTTTAATATCCTTTTTTAAATTGATTAGACATTTAAATTTTGGGAACTTCTGAACTTCCATACTTAATATTGAATTAAACATGGAATTACATATTTTTAATACTGAATGTGATATTGGATAATTATGGTATTAAGTATTTAAAACTGAGTATTAATGGTACGCAGTACTGACTGTTCAGTATTTAATATTTCACGGATAAAATTGGGAGTAAAAATTAATTTTCAAATTAATAAATAGATTTAAGCCATACATATAGTCTAAATATTAGTAATGTAGCAATAAACATATGTGTTCCTGTGAAAAGGCAATAATCAAAAATAACAGTTTTATAACCAAAAATCATAGATGATAAATTTTATTGATGTTATGTAACTTGTTGGTGAAGATTATAAATAACTGTTAATGAATGTGGTAAAGAAGTTGCTCATAAAATGATATACTGCATATATGAAGTTTCTTCTAAGAGCATCCTGGTTTAGTAAGTTTACTAAAAATATGATAAATATGATCAGTTTTAATTTTATTTTATGAATTACATATATTATTTTTTTAAGTTTTCCATTTTAAAAGAATGTTCTATAAATAATGTATTTTTATATAAAAAGGCTTCATGTTACAGTTGCTTTAAAATCATGGTCAATTGAAATATTTTATTACTTTTTGTATAAGAAAATTGTGTGTGTATGTGTTGTAGGGTTTTGCTATGTCTAGAAGCTTATCTCAATGTCTTGCAGACTGTACTCGACTGAAAAGTGAGTTACCCCTTTAGGCTGAAGCAAATGACAAAATCGAGGAATGTTTAAATAATAACTTTTTTATTTAACTCTTTAAATGGGTAAAAGGCACTGTTTGTCCTACAGATGAATCACCGCTACTTGTAGGTAGTTAAAATAAGGTAAGGTAAAGTTAAATTCCAATGTAGGTAATGTAGTCTGAGACTATACACAGAAATAGGCTATTTCAGCTGGCTCGAGGGAATTATAATGGTGTGCATTTTAAACTTTGGCTAACAAAATGCTGAAGCCAAAATAAAACTTTGGCTAACAATAGTACTTTGCTGCAATGGGAGGGCTACCAAATGCTCGAATTTTAAAACATTAAAACCCTCGCCTTAAATATACAACTAATTTGCATTCTAATGAGATTTGCAGAAGAGAAGTAAAGCTTCAAAACATAAGTGCTTAATTAACGCAAAATCCTTCAGTGTATTAATTGCATGTCATCTGTTATGTTTAATATTTTAATTAATTTCTAATTGTAAATTTCACAAGAATTTTTTTTTAAGTAGTCGCTTCTTTTTATATCAATAATATGTTTAATTTTTTTGGAAAGAAAACATAAAATATATATTGTAGCTTGTAACATTAGGCTTTTATGTTGTGTTGTTTGAGCTACACTAATATTAAATTTATTTTTTTTTTAAAACTAAATATTTATGGCAAGTACTGTATTTTAAAATTTAGAAAAGTAATTTTTGCATTAGTCCTGTGCCAGATTAAAAAAGAACAAAGTTGTTGCATATCGCAAAAAAGCAATGTCTCTATACATTTTACATAATTTAATTTTTTTTTTTTTTTTAAATTTTTGCATTTAAAAAAATGATGTGCCAAATTGTAAGCTGTATCAGGATTAAATTTCTCGGTTTAATGTCCTTATTTATCATGAATTGCAAGGGAAATAGCAAGAATTAAAAACCTAAAATATGATACTTGCTTTAAATGTTCGAATTTCTGTTTTATAATAATTGTATTTGTGTTTATGTACCTTAAAAAAGTTATACTTTCATTATAATTAGTAATTTATAATACTAGATATCATTCATATATTGTAATCAAGGATTATAAGTTTAGTTAGACTTGTGCTGTAACTTTTCAAATTACTGCAACTCTGAAATTAAGTAATTGTTGCATTTTGTTCAAAGTAGTAAAAGTAAATTTCTCATCAGATAATTATTCACCATAGAAACAGTAATTCTGTGGATTATCAATAACCGTGAAATAAAAATAAATAACAGTTACTGTAAAGAATGGGTCATCATGAAAGTGGGTTTTTTTTTTTTTTTTTTTTTTTTTTTTTAATATGTAGATAATGTACAACAGAACACCGTCATTTGCTTTTTAAAGAAATGTATTTGTTATGTTTCCTTTATTTTGCATATATTATTTATTTATCATTTATTGGAATTTGCAGCTCCAATCATGTATAACACATACTATGTAAAAAGAATCATTTTTATACATAAATTTGCATTTACTAGTTTTCAACCAGCTTTTGTATTTAGTGTTTTGTTACCTAGTCAATGCTAGAATCTATGATTCTGTATATAGTGTTTAATTTGTGTAAATAAAAGTTATAGGAAAAAAGTACTTTTTTTTATTTTGATCATTTATTATTTAAAACGTAGTGATTTACTCTCATTGTGATATGAAAATTCACATATTACTGTCTATTAAAGTAACTCTTGTGATTTTTGTTCTTTTTATTCATTTAAAGCAAGTGTCCAAATAATAAAGCGTAACTGCAGACTCTTTTGGTTTTTTAACACATCTGCCAGTAGATAATTAAATCTCATGGTTTTTTAATTTTTTTAATTTTGAAAGCAAGTATCGAAATAATAAAGCATATCTGCCAACTCTTCTGGTTTTTAACACATCTCGCAGTAGATTATAGAATTTCATGGTTTTTAATGTTTTAGTTTTACCAAGGAAAATGTGTCCCTGTACTAAATGAAATGTATTGAATTAATGTAATATAAATTCTACAAATTCTCCTACTTCTAGTGAATTTCAGAATAATTTTTTCTGTAAAATTTTATTTCATCTAAATTGTATTATTTTTTTCCTTAACACATTTTATGATCTTTTTTTCACTAAATATTAAATTTTTCGTATTAAAATTTCTTTTAATCTAAAATATCTCGCACCTCTATAGACATTTTTAGAACTTTATATGAAAAGTCATGCAATGTTTAATCAGTTAATATTTGTATTTAATTTTATTTTGCTTCAATATATAATGCGTTATAAAGTTTATCTGCACAAATACTGTATTAATTAATATTATGTACGCATGAGTTCATAATAGATAGAATACACCGAGAACTGATGATAGCTTGATAAACTTTATTTTCCCAAAAGAAACGTTTTACAGTTCTGAAACTTTCTGTAGAAGTGCTCGTACAGCTCTTCTGTATAGGGCTAGCAAGTCAGTAGTTACCACTTCAAATTACTAATAATGTTAGACACAATGCAAAATGCATCCAAAAAGCGAAGGTCGCGCAGAGATCTCTCAATATTCCGAAGTCATTTGTGAACAAAAAACTGAAAACTGATACTTTGTTCGGGCTTATAGTTTTCACCTGGCGGCCAAGAAATTTCTAGTACCTTCCATTTCTCGAAATTACTGGAAGACTTATATGGTTAAAGTTTTGCATATAAGGCTCTGCTAAGACAGTGATATAAATGTTATACCTGATTTAAGCCAAGTTTTATTGCTAGATAACCAGACCTTGCTATATCACAAAAACTGGTTTAGGGGTTTTGGCATAAAATTCAAAGTTTTCAACTCTATGCCAATTTCGTATAAGAGTCGACCAATCGAAGCAAACATTTAGCAGGAACGCTGAAAGTTATTTAGCAGGAACGCTGAAAACACATCCACACAATGCATAAATTTAGCTTCTCTAATAGGGTATGGTTTAGACCCTTTCTCGTTAGGTGTGAACAAACTCTTGCATTTTATGCTTATGACTATTCTTCTGTGACATTTATGCCACTGTCTGAATGGAGCCTAAGGGCCGGATATGGTTACAGTTACATATAGTGATCAATTAAAGTCATATATGGACCGGACCAAATGGTCACAAAGTTTGGTGATATCTTGACAGTTTAGGAAGTGAGCTATGTACCTCAATGTAGACTTGCTCCTGTAACTTTATTTTTCCAACAGAGCTTCACTTTCTTCAGACTTTTCAAGTAATATTTTTCAAAATTCGTAAAAATACTATTTTCATCATTTTTGAAAATTAAATTTTCATTACCTATTAAGAATTTTCTCAAATAAAAGTGAAAGAAGTTGTTAAAGAACATAAAACTTGGACTATCTTATGTATTTTATAAATCCGTTTTATACATTTATGTATTTTATAACGAGAATAATATAAATTTAGTAACTTAAATCATACATTATCAGTTTCGAGTTCTTTTGAAATGGCATCGCTATGCTGCGTGAAAGCTTCCCGGTTTCTTCTTGTTTTCACGCCAAAAATCTGGTTTTTCAGATTTCAGGGTTTGCAGCTATGATAAAGTACAAGGGTCTTCTTCCCTTCCCCCCTCCAGTCTCAGATGGACCACAAAAAATGACAAATGTCAAGAACAAAATTTATTTATTTCCAAAGTTCTGCACCAGTTTGGTTACTTTTTGACAATATTGCTGTGAAGTTTTGGGCATTTGTCAGACTGATGTACGAGCTTTCTGATGCTCCTTTCAAAGAATTTTGCTGCGAGTGATGTGAGATGAGCTTGAACATAGTTTTGAAGCTCCTCATTGGTTTGGAAGCTTTATCGGCCTTCATGAAGGGAGTAAACCATGAGACTTATCAGTCAGCTCAAGGATGAGTTATCTTTCCATCCTTTGTGTTTCTACTATCAGTCTTGTAATTTAAAGAGATTTGTGGTAATTTTAAAGAGACATTGTCAAGACTTCAACTGTGCTTAATGAGGATTTTAGCACTGTTTTATCCATTGTTTCTGAGTTTACCGAAAATATCTGCTCTAGAAGTCATTGGTAACTTAATAATGAGAAGTTATTCAGATGCATTATACTGAACAGTATCAGCTGGATATATTAATGTACATCATATGTGCTGTATTTGCAGAGTTCCTGTGTAATTTTCAAGTTCATAGTAGTCATTTGTGTTATTCACTTATTTACAGTTTGTGTATGATTCACTTATGTATAGTCTGCCTTATCAATCATTCAAAATTGGATGGCTCTAGGTACCGATGTTTTATCACAATGCGAAAAACATAAATACATTTATGCAGATTCTTCATTATTTAATTTCTTCAAATATAACGCAGGGCGATAATATTTGGTGGCAACAGTTTGAAAAGTGAAACGGACATTCAGAGTGATTAGACTCAAAATTGCAAAAGGAAAAAAATAGTCCCACAGAGACAAAGCCGCTTTGGACTCATAATCTAATATATAATATATGTAATCTAATAATTTACATTTAAAATCACTAAAGAATTAAATTTTAATATATTTCTTTAATTATTAATTACTGTAATCATTAATTATTTTAATGATTTTATTAAAATTCTTCTTTCCTGAGGGTCTACGGTAGGGCTCTGGCTCATGGAGAGCACTATATCCAGTATATCAGATTGTTCGAGCCTACTTAGCTGATGAGTGTACTTGTTTGGAGCATGAATGCAGATAGGGTTGGTTATTGGAAATATACTTATGTAAAATTTTTCCATTTGCATTGCTGTGCCTGCAATTCGAGGAAACTTATTTGGCATGAGATGGATTGTAAATAGCACAGAAATTTGAGTCCACAGGGAGTATGACATTAACAGTCACCAGTTCACAATTCTGAAGTCTAACCTCTCGTAAAAGGCATGAATAGAGATTATTTTTCACATGAATGATGACTCTTCAACCTGGTGGCTAAGTCTGCCACACCGATAAGCATGGTAGTTAGGAATGAGTAATCTATGGCATAGCTGAGCATGCATTTCAGTTAACAGGTCCAATATCAGTGTCGTGCTCTGTGAAGAAATTCTGTAGTTCATGAAGTCTGCTGAGGAGCCTGCAGGTGTTCCAAGCTGCGAAACGAATGTTGCTACATGTGCAATGAAATTATCCATGATCAGGGGCTGTAGTGTTAGATTCCTTTGTTGTCGTTAATGTTTGTTGTTGGGGCTGTAGTGTTAGATTGTAGTTGTCATTAATATGCTTAACCCGTTCAGGACGAGTATCGCGTATATGCGATGCAACGATTCCATGCCTACTAGCCCAGGTGGTTCTGCTCCTACAAGCCCAGCGTCACGTATACGTCATTAAAACGGAACGATTTATTTGAATTTTTAAAAGCTGGTAAATGGAGCTAAGTGATAATTATTTTCACATGGGTTGATTCATACGGCATTTGACCTTCATGTACTGGCATTAGTTTCTGTTTTGTGCTTCTGGTTTTGAGAGATTGAAATAAACAAACTGGAAATCACGGCTTTTTATAAGTGCACCCATGAATTAAAAGGGCACAGGCATTTTTATTTATTTCGTTAGGGTTTTCTTCTTCTTTTTTTTTTTTCCCCATATTTATTTTGAAACCTAACATAAGCTTTCTTGGTTAATTTAAAAGTAACATTGCAACATTATTACAGAAGGGGAAAGACTATCAGCTTTCTCGACACGTAAGGTACCAATCACATGTTTCGGCTACTCGGGACAATTCAGGGAAACAGACGTAGCTAGGTTACCCCTCTCACTTACTACGAAGACTTGAACGCCAAACAGTAATCAATTATCACTCAAATTGGGATCACGTGATCCTTCAGAAGCAGAACTTTCGTCTGATTGGTTGTCTACCTGGGACCCGAGACATTTTCGATGAGGTTTGAAAAAAATCCTGCATAGCCGCAACATTATTTTCGAAGCTAAGTGGGACTTCGCTTCCAGCAGGGCTCTTTTTTTTTCTAGGAATGCTCCCATTTAGGCCAGTGCTACCAGAATCTCGTTTCTCAGAAAAGTCACATCTAGCATTGACTGCAGCCATATGTGATAACCTCTTAATGCGTCTTGCTCGCATATCTCAAGAAAGAGCCAGCGTTTTTGTTTTTCTTACTCAATTCAATAGGTCATTATATATAATGCCTTGAATGGTCATTATGTATAATGACATGGGCATTATATTTTGGTATATAATGTATTTACATATAATGTATATATTAACGTGATCAGTAACGGATATTCCGCCAGTGGGGGTCTTTCCTTGATCACTATCCGGTCATCGTGGACACTGTTTTCGATTTGGAAAAACAGGAAGTTTTCTAATATAAACCTGATGTCACACAAGGTTTGAGGATGAAATATTTTCGAGTTTCTTTTGAAGAAGTTTTGGGACATGTGTCGGGGTTATAGTCAGTTCTATTCGGTTAGCCATGGCTAAGACACCTTACTTAAAAACTCAAAAATGTGTCCAAAATAACTGAAAACTATACTATACTTTTCCGTCTAACTGGAGGACAGTTTTCGAAAATTTACGTTGACGGAAAAGTAATAAAGGTAGGAGAAGATGCGTTGTATGCGCTAAAACCAAGGAAAAGCGAAAGCAAACAACGTATTTTGGGTGTGAAATATGCAATATAGGACTGTTTGTCATTAACCGTCAGTGTATATAGCTTTTGTAACTATTATTTGGAAACTTTTGTACAACAATCTACAGCTTTCACAATAAATATACCACTTGTTGTATTCCCCTATCGATCTTTGTTTTTAAGATATTTAATTTTAAAATGAGGACTCGCTAGACACCTGTGTATAACACACATATTAAAAAAAAAATTGGAGCAGAAAATTCACTTTTGCGTTAAGTATAATATAATAATAAATTGCGAAACAAATTGGTGCTAAACTAAGACTAGTCGCATTTTCCCGCAAATAAGGAAAAATTCATCCACGCTTTCATATTTCGAAAGGAAAGGAGAGAAAAGGAACCCTTTGATCAACTAACGGCACACACATTTGTTTTTTCCTCCTCTTCGCCTTTTTTTATATAAATATATCTTTCTATGTCACGCATATGGTCTGTGTAAGATAAATTGAAATTTTTCTTCTAGAATCTCCTTTTATTTTCATTCATATTCAAATTTACGTGCTCAGGTTATAATTTGTACGTAAGGTAAATCTTAATTTAACTTCATCATTTATGCACATTAAATGTTAAAAATAAGTCTTAAATTTCTTGAATGCAAACAAACAGAATGAAAAATGTGAGCAATTTGTCATATAATAAAAAAATCAAACAGAGATTTATTAAAATTCACAATTCCTTAATATGGGTATAATTACAATACTATTACACACACATATAAACAAGAATGAGTGCACGTAGAAACGCGTAACATTTTACAACTTCTTATCATGCTTCTTGGGAAATCTATAATATACAATATACACACATAAAATGGAAATTTTTATGAGTGCATGTACAAACATGTAACATTTTACAACTTCTTATCGTGCTTCTTGAGAAATTTATATACAATATACACACATAAAATGGACATCTTTTTTGTAATTAATTAACAGACGACATTTGAGTGCATATGCTTACATGTTCTCTCTTAATTTTTCATAAAAAACATACATTAATAATATGTAGGTAATTTTTACAGAAAATGCAATCTAAAGCAAATCAAACATTTTTTTAATCTACAAGAGCAGCCAAAATTGTAGATGTACAGAAAATATAAGTGAAGAACTTGAAGAATTAAAATTTCCAACTTAAGAAAATAAATAATAACATAAAATAACCAGAAAAAAATTTAATTCAAGAAAATTATCAGATTTTTATAGAATTGTCATGGAATTTAGTAACTACAGAATGATACATTCATTCTCATTAAAATGGTTTATCACTTGCAAATTAGCTTGAAAATCCTTCTCGTTGTATGTAATGACGAGAATTTTATACAGTCAAAAGTCGTTAATTCAGACACCCATAATTCGGAATGATCTATAATCCGGACCTCAAAACTAAAAACTTTCTGCGCATGCGCCGCGTTGACACATGCGCATAGGCGTTTAAGCGTGCGCGTAAGACCTTTTACGACTGCACATATGAGTGTGCGCAAGTGCAGAATACGTTTTCGCGTGCGCGTTTTATGTATAATGGACGTATACGCAAAAATTATCTAATTATCTATTTCAGTTAATGTTGATGATTGCGTTGTTTCCTTAATTTTCGAATTGGATCCGGCTTATTATTTTTTGCAGACTGTAAGAGCAATTTTATAAAAGTAAGCTTAAACTTTCGATTATATCAAATAGAATTTCCGATATATATTTGTTAATATGTAAAGGATCTAAAGCGAAAGTATGTTTTGAAATTCGAAATCTGTTTATCAATTTCACGCTGCTCGGCGGGGGGAACGCGCCGGCGGGCACGTAATGAATTGGAAGTTGATCTGTCAACACTATCCTTATCTTCAGCGCAGATGTTTTTATTTTATTTGGCTTATAATTCCTTACCAAATGTAGTATTTCATCTCGATATGCTCCGTCTTTGATATGATTTAAAACAAGTTCCTCGTCATTATAATTCGCTTCCGATAGCGAAGAAAAGTGACAGAGGTTATTGAAAACGAAAAAATTTCGATTGACAAATTAGTCGGTGTTCTTGACACAGCAATTATAGGACTTGAACAGCGGAACTTTGTAACTGAACAGAAATTATGTCTGTTTAATAGAATTAAAGAGAAAGTATTATCACATGAAACGAAGCAAAACTTAACTTACATTGAAAGAAATGTTTATTAAGTAAACAAATAATATTAAGCTTTTTCTTTTGCAAATTTTGATATCCTTTAGATCATAACTGTTCTTTATTTCATAAATTACGGTTTCATATTTTTAATTTTAGAATTTCTGCATGCCATCTTACGAGATTTAAACTGATGATCTATAATCCGGAAAAATCGATAATCCGGAATCGCCGAAGTCCCGACGAGCCCGGAATAACGACTTTTGACTGTATTGCTTCAATTAATTTTGTGTGTGATTATAGCAAAGGCTCGAGGACTATGCCTTCACGGATGACTTTGTAGAGGAAAACTGGCTAGCATATACGTTACACATGGGGAAAATCACGAAAACACCCATGCAGCCCGTTCGCGGAATTCGAACCTCGGACCGAACTACCAGTGTTCAGCGACTTTACCGCTCGACCGCTGGTGGGCCGCTTCAATTAAATGAAATTTAGATCATTTTGATTCACTCGGTTTATCAGTCACTGAATCGCTAAAGCCACTGAACAATGGCAAGTTCGCTCCAGGTCCGATTTCCCATCATGAATAGGTTGGATCTGAATGGTTGCTCAAAAGGCCTCTTTTAAAGCTGAATATGGTTTTATTCGTAGAGATTATCAATAGAGATAGCCTAGGTGGAACAGCGACACATTTTAGGGAATATTAGATGAATTTACATTTAGTATATTATCATCTTGTATCCTATATATCATGGAAGCGTTCTATATTTTCTGTCTATTTGATTGTGAGGTCAAAAATATAGAATATAATTCTATAAAAACATTGAATGTTTTTAATTAGATTTATGATGAATTAAATGTATTCTTATTTCAATCAATTCGATTCAAAAGTCAAAATTTTAATATTCTTAAGAACTGCATCTTTCACTTTTAAGTGGCTTAGTTTATTCATCAATAAGGAGTCATTTTCAATTTATATTTTGCCAAACACCAACAGACTAGAATGAAAAGTAAAACAACGCATTTAAAGAGAATAAACGCAAAATAGTTTTTCGAAACTTTTATGCCACACAATAAAGCCAGAACCAGTCGAGTGGTCTTTACTTAATCGCGGTTGGTTTTGGCACTGGCCAAAACTAGTTCACTGATCCATGTCTAATTAATAATATTCTTTAACAATTAAGGATTTTGTACCAAGTTGTAATCTTGAATAGCCTCTTCCACTCAATTAGGACACTGGCAGGAATAATTTCATAATTCTATGTTCTAGAAAAGTCTCTTAAACAAAATCGCAACTGCTAAGAATCTGTATTTCCTCAAAATATCATTAAGGTATTCTTTTCATAAAATAGTTCTTGTGCTGTCAGCAGAAAGAAATTCTAATACTACTTGAGTGATCTATGTTTAATAAATAATATTATTAAGGATTAAAGATTTCATGCCAAGTCATAATCTTGGATGTCCTGATCGAATAACCACGATTCTGTGTTCCAGTAAAATATCTACAAGTTCACAACTGCAAAGATGTTGTACTTCCTGAAAGCATCATTAAGACGTTCTTTGTCAAAAAATACTTCTTATGCGGTCAGCAGAAAGAAATTCTGAAAAACTTTCTTTTCTTTTTCATAAGCTGTTCTTCCTTGACTCGATTTACAGCATTCTGTACCACAGCCACCGCTTTGTGCTTGTCCTCATTTGGCAAAGGAACAGAAAATGAAGCCAATTCCTGCTTCTTCGGAGACCACTTGAGTGCCTTCCTCAATGTCTGAACAGTCTTATCTTCGTCCTCCGTAGTCAAAGTTACAGTTACGATTTCCCTTTCTCTTCGAAATTTATTCTTTAGAATGGCTAAAGGTCCCCTAGTTTCCCGATAAGGTACTAATGGCATAGGCACGGAAAATTCACACAATTCTTCTCTGAAAGAAGGCACTTCGTCATTGAGCAAAAGAGGTGTTGTTTCTTCTTCACAAGCCACTGCATTTGCCCTAGTTGCTAATATTTCTCTCGAAACAGTTCCTGAAAACATAGTTGTGCAGCTTATACCCTTTTGGCATGATTGTGCCAATGAATCACAATGCACAACAGAAGAAGACTTGGTGCAGTTTTGCCTGAAGCTGGAAGAGTTGCCTTTATCTTTCCTTGGTGTTCTACGGTTACCATCGAGATCATCTAAAATAAAATTCAAAGCTCCAGGAGTGAAGAGGTCTCTGAAGGTAATGACCAGTCCACCAGCTCCTTGCCTGCTGCGATTATTATGCCGAGCAGAATTGTGTCGTCTGCGTCTTCTTCTAGGAGGCTGAGGTTCGTCTGCCAACAGAGTACTAATGGCAAGCAGTATTTGTCGCACTGTAGGCATGTTAAACCTAAGACAAAAAACGAAAACAAAAATATTATATTGTTGATATCATATACCCAAGCATTTTATATACTTTTTTGTAGTATTGAATGAGCTAATATGTAAAATACTAATGCTTAGAATTAATAACGGCAGCGTTTCTCAAACTGTGGTCCTTCTAGACTTCTAAAAAGACAAAAAATAAAATTCAAAATAATTACATATACCACATTATAGCTGAAAATCTGAGTTCGGAAATGACGCATGGCAATCGTCCATCACTTTTTTTCTTCCAAGACCGACATTTTATGAAATTTATTAACGGTTACCCACCTGTGGACTTTTCACTTTAGTCTTAACAACAAAAAAAGAAGGATTTACAACATAATAATTGTGATGCTTCTCGCCAACTTTTATCTCTCATGGGACTCGATGGGCTCATTACCAGTGAAAACGAAATAAACTGAACTGTAAAATAGTGCTTTAAAATTGTAATTCGATTTGCTTCTACGTATCTGTATGAGAAAGGGTTTTCATCCCCAACTCAAATAAAAACAAAGGACCGAAATCGACTCGATGTACTTGCGAATAACTCTTACACGAAACAGCTGTGCAAGAATTCGGCCTCTCATCCATCATTATGTGAATACCGCTATTTATTTAAGTTAAAGATTATCTTAAATCTAATAGCCTTGAATTATTAAAAACAAATATAAACATTCTTCTGTTAACTTGATATTGATATAAAATTAAATGAATTTTTTAGAGGCTAAGAATGAGATAGTCTACAAAACATTCTAATTTATAAAATTGCTTACTTGAAATAAGTTTGAGAAACGCTGGTTTAGAGGAGATTTCCAGTCCTTTCTCCTTGCTTCCACCCTTTTTAAAGAATGGTTTTCTTAATTTGCCCCCCTTACAGTTTTCTCTGTAATACCCAGCGTACAACATAACTATAATACAAATGACTGCGCATAAAGAAATTAAGATGAAAAAGAGGCTAAATATGAGACAAAGTTTTGTAAAAAAATGGTTTATTAGATTTATGTTTCATTATATTTTGTATTATTATAATTTTACAAATATAACAAGCTTTCGTAAACAAAATCACCGATTCTAATTGCACAAAAGCTCAATTTTAATAAATCCGATGGCTACGCCTGGTGTATTTATGTTGTGCCTTTTTTTAATATTTGGAGTAAAATCCTTATCTTGAATAACATCATTCAAAAGTATTCGACATTTTTCTTGTTTTCCGTTGTAAATTATTGATGTCTTAAGACTGCTCCCACTAAATAAAAAGAAAGAAGAATTAATGATGTTGATTCGATAACAACTATTATTTTGGGATATTTCTCGCAGATGACACGGGTATGTCAATTAGGAAAACCGACGTACCCATATGTTTTGAAAAAGACTTGACATTTCAGTGCATAGCTTTACATCAATAAAAAACTATTATCAATTTTATTAGCCCAAAAAGGACGTTAGTCCCGAATGTGATATTGGTCTCGAAACAGTATTTTGCATTGAATGACCATGAACGGCATATCACTTTTCGAATTGTTACTACCAAATATTATTGCCCTGTATTATATTTAAAGAAATTATATCAATCTTGTTTCACTATTTCATAGTTTGTAAACCTTTAACGAATTTTGATTAACAAACTCAGCGATTTCAAAGAGAACAGTGGCAAAACTGTACGGGAAAAATACTTTATCTCCAGCACGCGAGATTCTGTGTGAAATTCTAAAAATATGCTGTTTATAAATATTTTATTACTTGCTCTTGAATCGAATTTTATGTGGCGTAAGCGCCAAGAACATGATATTTAATAAATAAAGGAAACGCACAAAACGTTAATAATAAAAAGCCAACAAAAATTTTTGCAAACCCATCTTAGTAGGAAAACTGAACATTAACGTGATGGACTGAGAAAATGCTGAAAAAAAAATTTACAGAAAAGTGCATGCCAACACTTAACGCTGCATAGGGAATTCTAAACGTTTACTGCTATACTGCTTTTTAAATTTTTGTAATTTTGCTGTCGAATAGTATATGGCGTAGGTGCAAAGAAAATGATGCTTAATAATATGGAATTTTCATTAAACCGATCAACTTCCAGTGCATGCTCGGCTACCGACCCCTTGATCCTCACGGACCTTTTCTAATACTTCATTAACCCTAGGAGGTCAATATTCCCTCCTCTGGGAAGCGCTGGATTAAAATATTGTTATGGATTTTGTATTTAGTTGGCTATTTTTAGTAGAATTGTAATTAAAATTGCTTTAATGCCCCGTTCAATGCTACGCGTGACGAATTTTAAGAGAAAGCTACGCCGGAAAAGTAAAAAAATACAAGAGCTCGTGCATTTAACATGTAATAAAAGTTTATCTCCATAACTGGTATTTAAATTGAATAAATGCAACTATGTGTTAGCTGTAATTCTTCTCTTTTGCTTTCCAGAAACCTCGAGAAAATAAAAATTACCAGAATGTTCTCGTGCATGATTAAAAAGCTTTAAAAAGCCGGAGAAAAACATCTCTGTTCAGTTGCTTTACTAAGTTGTTGTTGTTTACTTACTTAGCTGCTGTAACGTTGAGAACGGATTAGCTTTCTGCGCTTTGAATTGTGTTCTATTTAAAGTTTTAGTAGTTTAAAATATAACTACTGAGTGATATTGTACGAATATCTTTGAAAGTTCAAGCGGTCTGATATATTTCATTTGATAAGAATAAATTTTATTAACTTTTTATCAGACTTGTGCATTCAATCTATTACGAACCCGGTACGCACGCAACAATATTCATTAGTTATGTCCAAGTAAAATACAAAGCTATGAAACAGAAAAGCTACTGTACTGTCCAGAAGCATTATCGTGTGCCTGCTAATAAGTGTTGAAATGAATATTTTGTTTAATATTTCATTTCTGATCAAATTTCTTTGTCGCATTATCATTTTATAAGTTAATAACATTAAACTTGGCGTAACAAAATCTTAAAAACTCTTTCAAGTGCTTCATAATAATATAACTAATTTATTATTACATGCTTTTAATATAATTAAACATGTTATCATTTGAAATATAATTATTCATTATGATAATCATAAAGAATTATATTTTTTCTTTATTGAGATCATAATAATTATACGATAATTTCAAATAAATCATATGATTATCCGATAGTAATTTTGGTAATACCTAGCAAAACTTCTGTTTCAATCAGAATTCATAATTAACTAAACATTTTAATTTATTATAAGCCAACAATTCCAATTCGGAACTTTAAATATAACAGAAATATTCTTCCTATTACATAACTCTCTTAAATATAAATATAGTAAACCCTCTCTAAGACGAACACCCATTTTTAAAAAATTCAAGATGATTTTGGTCTTTCATCAGTAGGTAGTCGTTTTAAAAAGATGATTATCAACTTCGATGTTCATTTTTGTCTTCAGAAATACTGGTCACTTTTGGATGGTGATCTTAGAAAGATGGTCGACTGTTCTTTTATTGTATTTATATATTGTTAGGGAATACCCAGCTGCAGTAATATAGCTACCCCGCAAACCTCGGGTTGCCAGAAAGTGGCAAGGAAAGGCAAAGCTGCTGCTAGATTTTGCGCGAAATTGCCCATTTGGCGACAAAATCGGCGTTATGTCATGGACGGAGCAAGAATATTCTACAGTGAATTCTTACCGTTTTTCCCGAGAATGTTCTCACAGGCAGATCAAAAGCTATATATACCCTGCTTGTACGTGGAGTAGGGCAGTATCTTATGTATGTTGAGTTCAGTAGTAGTGTTTTGAGTTCACAGTTTAACTTGAGAGCGGCGGACCTGAGTCGGGAGCTGTACTTCAGTGCTTTGCCATGAAGCTGTCATCACCGTTATAACCTCAAGGCTGTGTTTCTGATTGTTTCAGAGTGTTTATCGTAGTTTTCCGACGACTGTAAACGTACCTTTGGAACTCTCTTGTGTAATATTGGCGAATAAATTGTATTTTGACTCTTCATCAAGTGTTATCGTAATTATTACTCCAATCCATGAACCCGTAGAACGCAACAATATTATACAAAAAGAAAAACAAGTTAAAATCCATGTCCATTAATAATGCTTGATATTTATTAAAATACCGTATTCTCATTAGTTAAACACAGCATGAAATTTTTGATAGAGTTTCACTTTTCTAAAATGTAATAAGAATTTCTTGATCAGAAATGTGATTTAAAAATATTTTTTACCCTAAAATTCGAACATTATACGGTATTTTCTTCTTTTTTTAAACTAAATTGATCGCCTAAAAATCGAGAGGGAAAAATTATGCGAGTATTTCATTTCCGAAGGACACGGTTACAGTGAGAACATAATAAATGAAAAGGGGTCATGGATAAACTAAACTATAGGTAACTATCACAATATTATTTCTTTAAAAGACACCTATATTTCAAAAAGTATACGTAGTGATATTAACATTTCAATATCTGATGGCTATTCAGATACGGTTATATGACGACAACTGATCAATGCGCGACGTGTCACAGCCCTAAGGACTCTTCACATGAATTAAGTCTTAATCACAATTTTCAAGAAGGTATCAGGTTCAATGTTCCGTCTTACTTTCTTTGGGAACATGCACAGACCTGACTCGGAACAGAGAGCTTACTAAAGCTATGTTCAATAACTGTGGGAAGTAGACAGGATACACAAGAAGGGTATACAAACCCTTTATTTTTCTCTCTTTACAATAATTTCCGTACTTCGGAATACAAAGACCCACTACTTGTGGTTTAAACGTTAGGAATATAAAAATAGAACTAAACTCTAACTTAACTTTGAAATAATAAACGTGGAAGATTGGCCTTATATTAACAGGAAGCCGTATGTAGTACAGAGAACTGTTAACACTACAATACGTTTAAAATTATCAAGAGGATTAAACCTCTGGCCTGGAAGGCAACCAGCAACTGAGTAAAACTTCTAAGGTAAGCGGCCTGCTTCGACTAATTCCTTCCTCTCTCTC